GCTGCCGCAGCCGGGGCCGAGGCGGGCCCTGGCACAGCACCCCGCAGCGGTGGGGCTGCTTGGGGCCCGCGCGCCGGGGGAGCGACAGGAGGGGGGGGGCGCGGGCCCGCCTGGGGCGGCCAGGCGTGGCGCGAGGAGCGACTCAGGGGGCCCCCTCACGCCCGTTGGGACGCGCGGTGGTGCACCGTCAGGAGGAGAGGCCGGGCGAGCGCCGTGGAGAGGCACTGCTGCGCGAGGCGCCAGGAGAGGAGGATTTCGAGCTCGGAGACATCGACCCACGGGCGGTGACCAGGTACCTGGCGGAGGCTGAAGGCAGCGGCCTGGGGGGCACAACCTTGGGGCGACAGCTGAGGAGACTGGCGAGGGATGACTCTTGGCGGGCAGGCGGGCGAGCTGATGCGGACTACGCCCCCGAGCTCCAGAGGCTGGTAGACGCGGCAGCGGTGGCCTCGGTCGCTCGCGGGACGAGGGCAACCCACGGGGTTGCGTGGAGGCAGTGGCCGACCTTCTGTCGGATTCGCCGCAGGTTTCCTTTCCTGCACGGTGAGACGCGCTGAGGAGAGGCATCAGGATGAGGAGGAGTTGCTGCTATTCATGGTGCACTTGTACAACAGTCTCCGCAGGTCCCACGGCACCATTCGCTCGAAGCCCCTCGGTTTCCGCTCGCAGCGCGCGATGCTCGGGCAGCCCAACCCCCTGGCGGGGAAGCCCCGTTTGTGGATGGCGTTCAATGGCATCGAGGACTGGCAGGGCCCAGGTCAGAGGGGTGCTGTGGCGGATTAGAGGGATGCTGCGCCCGGGGGATTGCGCGGGCGATGCGGCGCTGCACCTGTGCGTGATCTTCGCGTTCTTCTTCGCGGTGCGGATCGGGGGGTGCGCGCGCTCGGGCCATTGGAACCTGCAGAAGGTCTCGGCGGGCTTGGGCATTTCCCAATAGCGCAGGGGGGAGCAGGCGAGCCACTTCTCCGCGGCGGACGAGGTGGCGCTTTGGTTCAAGTCGTCGACGGCAGACCAGAAGGGCGCGGGCCGGGCGAGGAATTACCGCCGCTCGAATGACATGGACGGCATCTGCCCAGCGTGGGCGGCGGAGCGTTGCAACCGTTGGTTCCCGAGCCGCATCTCGGGCAAGGAAGCGCACTTGCCGCTCGCGAGGTGGGCGGACGGGGGCCCGATCACGCGGGCGCGCATCCAGGACCTGCTCCAGAAGGCGGCGGCGTGGAGGGCTACCCCCCGGACAGGTTTAAGAGCCACTCGTTCCGCGTCGGCGGGGCGACTGCCTTGTGCCGCTGCTTCTAAGACACCGAGTCGGCAAAGCGGTGGGGGCGGCGGAACAGTGGGGCATTTCACCAGTGCCCGTGGGAGGCGAACGAGGACGCGGCGGTGGTATCCGAGGCGATGGCGAAGTCCGTCGCGACCCTGCACGTCGGCTACAAGGCGACGGCTGCGGGAGGAGGCAGCCGCCAGCGAAACAGGGGGAGGCAGGGCGATGGCCTGAGCCCAAGGCGCGGCGTGGAGGGTCGCCAATTTGGCTGTGGCGAGGTAGAGTTTTGTCCGGCAGCATGACTGCCAGGACGGGCTGCGGCCCGGCGAGTCCCGGTGGCTGCGACGCAGAAGCCGCTGAGGAGGCCAGCGCAGGATTGGCGGCAGTCTGAGGGGCGGAGGCCTTGGGGCAGCGGCTTAGCCACAGCCGGAGGTTGTTTGAAGAGGGGCGGGCGAGCATGATGCAGGCGGAGGTGGAATGAGTGCTGGGCGTCGGGCCAGGTCCCTCCCAGTCTGGGCGGGGGCCTCGAGGCGGCCCCGCGGCTCGCGCAGCGGGGGCAGCGAGGCCGCGCCCCAGCGGCGAGGGCCTTTCGGTAGCAACCGGTCCGAGGTCCCTCGGAGTACTGGGTGGCCGAGGAGCCGCCATCGGCGGCACAGCTGGACCTCAGACAGGTGAGGTCCGGCAGCGGAGGAGGAGGATGGCTGGCGCGAGGCGCGCCTGCGCATGCCAGAAAAGACCCGCCGCTGCAGCTGCTCTGATCCTGGGCCCCCGGGAGCGGGTGCGCACGGCACCCGCTCGTCGGTTTTCTCCAGGCGCGAGCTCACTCAAACGCGAGAGTTCGCGCGCCAGCCTAGAACGTAAGGTTTTAGTGAGAGGTGCCCGGGCAGGGGGAGGGTCATCCGTTTCTCGTCCTTCTGTCCCCCTCCCCCTCCGCCGTGGCCCACTTGGGCTCAAGTTTTTCTCTCGGGCCCTTCCCTCCCAGGCATATCCCCCCCTGGCCCTCTAGTTTGCTCGGCCTTGCCTGCTTGCAGGTCGGGCCGAGGAGCCGCCGTCGGCGGCGCAGTTGGACCTGGGACAGCTGGGGCCCGGCAGCGGAGGAGGGGGATGGTTGGCGCGAGGCGCGCCTGCGCATGCCAGAAAAGACCCGCCGCTGCTGCTGCTCTGATCCTGGGGAACGGGTGCGCACGGCACAAGCTCGTCGGCTTCCTCCAGGCATGAGCTCACTCAAACAAATCTGTTATGCATCCATTCGTTTAATGGGGGCAAACACGACAACGACCGAGGAGGGGGAGTTGGAGAAGGGGGGGATGATCAAGATGATGATGATGATGAGGAGGAGGAGGAGGAAAGGAGGAGGATGATGATGATGAGGAGGAGGAAGAAAAAACAAGGAAACGGACACCGGAAAAGAGAAGGAAAGAGGACAAGTGATAGAGGAGGAGGAAGAGGTTGAGGAAGAACCAGAGGACAAATAAGGAGGAGGAGGAGGAGGAGAAGGAGGAGGAACAGGAACAGGAAAACGAAAAGGGAAAGGAAAAGGACAAGGAACGGGAGAGGAGGAAAGGGGAGGAGGAGGAGGATGAGGAGGAGAAAGAGGAAGGAGGAAAAGGAACAGGAAAATGCGTAGGAGGAGGAGGAGGAGGAGGACGCGATAAAGCACGCAGAGCAATCAAAGACGCGCGCGCGAACTCAGCGCGAAAGTCTCGCGCGCGCGCGCCTCCGAACCCGAGGGGGCCCCGCAGTCCCCCGTTCTCTTTGTTCCCAGCTGTCCGATCGATGTTCCAGGCTCCCAGGGTCCTCCGTGGCAGCGCCAGAGGACGCCACGACGCACCAACGTGGCCAAATAGGTTTTTACATGGCATGATGGCCACAAGGCGGCCAGAAGAAACCCCAAGGAACGCGCGAACGGGTCCAACAGGGCCCGCGAAAGGGCTTCGGAAGGCGAAACATGTGAATTGTTTAACGGATTCGCATTCAATCCATATGCTTTTCAGGAGGGTTCCAAGAGGCCCAGAGTAGTGAAGAGGCGTAGAAGAACAATGCGTTCTGAAGATTTTGCTTGTTCCAATCCCGATGAGTTTCTGGCATTCTTCGATGATCGTCCAATGGAACAAACGTGCCCCAAGAGGAGCCTCATCAAGAAGGCCACAAGGCGGCCCCCAAGGCGCTTCAGAGTTCCCCATGACGGCCCCGGATACCTCCCAGAGTGCCCCCCCAGACGGATTTTGGTCAGACGGGCCAAAAGCAGGGGTCGATCTAAACGGTGTTTTGGCAATTTCGTGGGCAGTTGTTGTTCCGACTTCGTTTTGCAGCAACGGCGGACTGTAGACAAAACTAAGGAAAGCGAAAGCAACACGAAATCAAAATCATTGATTTTGACGAGCCTTGGCCAAGAGCGCTCCAGATGAGCCTGCAGGAGCCCCAAGGCATCCCACGGGGGCTCCTGGGACTCTCCAGGATGGCCCCGAGACGGCCGCGGCCGGCGGGCCCTTTTCGGGACTCTGGGGAAGTTTTCGGGCACCACAGATTTCCAGCACAGCCCCAGTTGGCGCCAAAAGGCCGCCAAAACGGACCAACATGGCCAAAGAGGCTCGCAGATGGCCACAGGGTGGCCAGAAGAGGCCACGAGGACCGCGCGAGCGGGACCAGCAGGGCCCGCGAAAGGGCCTCGATAGGCAAACTCTGTTGATCTTCCGATTGTTTGTTCAAGGGTTATGGACCAAAGAGGATGCCAAGAACGCTCCAAGATGCCCAAATCAGATCAAAGCAAAAAGGGAAAACCATCAGTGTTTGAGGATCGCGCCGTTCCGTTTCCGATGGGTTTCTGAGGCACTGTGTGGATGGTCGTCCAACTGCCCAAGCGTGCTCTAGGAGAAACCCCAATTGGTGACAAAACGGTGGGCATCCTGTGGCATCCAGAGGCCTCCAGGGCCGAAGGTGCCTCCAAGCACCTTTCCTGGGCAGCCCTGAGGTACCCCTGGAGTGCCTGAGACCTTCCAGAGTACCCCCCAGACGGCTTCCAAAAGCGTGAGACGGGCCAAGAGCGCCAGAGGAGACCGATGGAGCCACAAGACGGTCAACTTGCTCCCTCAGGACTTGTTCGACATGGCCCCAAGATGGTCTAAGGTGGCTTTAAGAAGAACCTCCAGGCCGCCAGGACGGCACAACATGGCCTCCAGAGTCAAAACAGCTCAAGACGGCCCCCAAGCTGCCTCAAGAGGCCCCCAAGAGGTTCCCAACAGGCCTCCCCCTGGGAGCCCACATCCTTCAGAACCTATGGAATGCGATGAGTTTCTGAAGTCCTCGCCTCGTCTCTTCCGATACGCTTTTGAGGGCTTAGTATGGCCCAGAAATGGGTCCACGAGAACCCGAGAGCAGGAAGGACGCGTGAGACAGGAGAGGAGACCAAGAACGGAGGGACAGCGGGAGGAAGGGATGAGCCAGAGTGGGGAGGAGGTAGAGAGGAGTTGAGACGGAACAGAGATTGGGCAGGGCGAGTAACGGGAGAAATGCGAATCATATTTTCCATGGTTCGAAGTTTTTACAGGGCAGCCATGGCGATACGCACCCATTGTGTCGAGACGTTGACCTGTGGTGTGCTAGAACCTCAGCGCGCGCGAAGCGCGCGTGGTTCTAGTCTAACCTAGAAGTTCCGATGGCCCTGCCATCATCAGCGTTCCGTCTCCTCTTTATCATGGTCCCGACTTGTTCTTGCACCTCTTCGTGTTCGCCCTCCGAGGATTTGAAGAGCCGCACCGACGTCATCAAGATGTACCAAGACGCCATAGGGTTCGGCCACATATCCGATAAGGATTGGGCGAGTTTGCCGCCTCTGCCCGCAGTCTGTATGAGCGAAGCCCGGAATTCTTGCTGAGGTTCACTTCTCGGTACATATAGGACGTGGGGGATTTGGCATCATGTCATGTACTCCAGGGGTGGGGGGGCGGGCCTATCCCTCCTCTCCTCTTTCTCTTTCTCCCTCTCCTCCTCCTCCTCCTCCTCCTCTTCTCGCCTCCTCCGAACGAGGAGGATGAGGAGAAGTAGAAGCGAGAGCAGTCTTCAGAGCGGCAGCCGCTCTCGCGGGTCCACTCCAGACCTCGTGCTGCCGTTGCTGTTGTCGCCGCTGCTGCTGCTGATGCATTGCCATGGCCCCGGCATCGCAGAGCGGAATTCGTTTGGAAAGCGATAGGATGAGCCGGAGTGTCCTGGAGAGTTTTCCGTTCCCGATTTTGATGTGAATTTCGTGCGGGTTTTTGTTGGCCAGGAACGAACACCAACAACAAACCTACACGAAATGGATGTTGTTTTTCGCTCACCGTTTCGGGCAAAATTCCATGCAGAAGCCCACGCGGAAATCCGCTGCAGCACGTCTGCAAGGCCAGTGCAATGAGCATTGTGCTGCCAATGCTGCACGATTTGCCCTACACTGGTCGAGTTTACCTGCTGTTTTGCATGCCCCAGTCTCAAGATCCACCCCGACTTTTCCCTTCTCCCCGCGCACCCCATTCATGTATGAGGCGTCGCGATAATCCACCCAGTGGGCCTCTTAAAATCCAAGGACGCCGCCCCCCGTCCGCCCCACCCCCACCCCCTTCCCCCCGTCCCCCGCCGACCCGTCCCGCCCAACCTCGCGGTGCGCTCGCCGCCACAGGGCTTCCAGAGGATCCCTTCGGGCATTCGAAGTCAGAAATCTGAAGATCAATTCGGCATTGTCGTTGGGACCTGCTGGGCCCGTGGATCCTTCATGGGATCCTTGGATCCCTGCGTGGGATCCTTGGATCCGTACACGGGGCCCTCGGCTCCCTACGCTGGGATCCTTGGATCCCTACTTCAGGCCGCCCTGGATCCCGACTTGAGACCCCGCAGGAGGATCCTTGGGTGCCCATGGGTCCCTGGATCCTATCGTGAAGGCCTTAAGGCCGGTGCCGCCGTCCCTGAAGGTATTGGCCGTCGATGGCGACGGGATGTGTGATCACTGGAAGGAGCTAAAGGACAACGTGACAGTGTAGGCGGAGGAAGTGTGTGAGGAGGAGGATGAGGAGGAGGAGGAGGAGGAGGAGGGCTGGTTCTCCAGTCCGCGTCGGCCCGCGTGGTACCAGCCTGCGCGGGGTCTGGCTCTGGTCACTGTTGGGGCCCGCCCCTGACGTCGTGGTGTCGGGTGTGACCAGGGGGGTCGGCTCCTTCGGGAGTACGGCTCAAGACGTGTACCGCATGGCCCCCCTTGGGCAAGGGGGCCTGTGGGGGCGGGCCTGGCTACCCATGTGTGGAAATACGCGCCGTGTGCCCCGCGCGGTGACGTGGGGTAGCCTGTGTCCCCTGCTGCAGGAAGAGCCATGGAGGCATGGGGGCTGGCCACCTTCGGCGGGTTGGCGGGCAGCACGTGTGAGGCCGGCGCCTCCTCCTTTCCCCCCTCCCCCTCCTCCTCCTCTTCCTCCTCGTCCTTTCCTCCTCCTCGGGCCCGGTCAGCGCTGCGGCCGCTAGCTCCAGGCGGTCGCGGGGTGGGCAAAGCCCCATCCAGGTCGGGCGCTCGTGGGGATCGGATCCCATGAGCGCTTACTTCGCGCGCAGGAGGAGGAGGAGCAGGGGGAGGAGGAGGAGGACGAGGAGGAGGAGGAGGACCCCGCCGACCCATCTCAAAACAGCAACTCTTGCGAAGCATGCCGACAGTCGTGTTTTTCAGGCGTGTTCCCGCCTGCTCCCGCATATCTCCGGGCTTCTCGTCCTGGTGTGAGTCGTTCGGGCCCTTCTTCCTGGTGTGAGTCGTTCGGGCTCTTCGTCGTGGTTTGAGTCGTTCGGGCTCTTCGTCCTGGCGTGAGTCGTTCGGGCTTCTCGTGGTCTAAGTTGTTCGGGCCCTTCGTCCTGGTGTGAGTCGTTCGGGCTCCTCCTCCTGTTGTGAGTCGTTCGGGCTCCTCGTGGTGTGAGTCGTTCGGGGCCCTCGTCCTGGTGTGAGTCGTTCGGGCTCCTCGTGGTGTGAGTCGTTCGGGCCCCTCCTCCTGGTGTGAGTCGTTCGGGCGCCTCGTCCTGGTGTGAGTCGTTCGGGCCCCCCCTCCTGGTGTGAGTCGTTCGGGCTCTTCGTGTGGCCTCTTGGGGGCCTCTTGGAGCCTCTTGGGGCCTCTTGGGGGCCTCTTGGGGGCCTCTTGGGGGCCTTTTGGTTCCTCTTGGGGCCTCTTGGGGGCCTCTTGGGGGCCTCTTGGTGGCCTCTTGGGGCCTCTTGGGGGCCTCTGGGGAGCCTCTTGGAG